TAATTAATTTAAATTCTTGCTTCTTTTGTTTCAATATAAATTTATTACATTACAAAGCCGTACTTATGAAAAACGTCTTTTTAAACAAACTCGTTCTTTCTTCATTCTTGGTTGGAAGATCGTTCAAATGTAGAATAATTTTCATCCACCATATTATATTTTTTGATAGCTGGGTCATGGTTGCATTTATTAAAATAATTGAGGTCTGCGGATACAAAACAATTGGCAAATAAATTTTATTAATTATACATAAGTTAAAGCTTTTTACATATATATTAAAAAAGGCATTTAAGATACGATTATGGGGCTTAAGGAAAAGTTGACAACAAAAAATATATTGACTTAAAAATAAAATATTACGTGTTTATGTATAAATAACATATCTTATCAATTTATACATTTACAATTATCTGAAGTAGTATAAAGATAATAAAGTACACAACATTAATTGGTTTGATCTTATAATAATTAATAATCAATTGGTAATCAATTTACCATACAATATATTTTTTGATCCATGATATTATACCAGGATGAGAGACATTTACGTAGACCCCAGGTATACTTCGTCCGCAACCATACCCAAATGATGAAAGACCAACTAAACGATTGTTAGATACAGCACCACCACCGCTGTCACCCTTCAAAACAATAAAAAATAAAAGAAAGTTCATATACACGTGATAAAAACTATATTGACGTTACTAATGAACATCGCCGGGGCGATATCGTTGTATGTATAATATATATAACTCTTGACGCGGCTGGCTCCGAGGAACGAACACCAAGCCGTGTGTACCAAAAGATTCCTGATACCACACAAGCTATGGAATGGTATTGATATACTAACATCGGGACAATCATGTAGTCTTAGGTGTAGGTTATAAGTTTTAACATGTAATTCTTATAAGTTTCGTAGTTTTCCTTGAATCATTGCTTGCGATCCTACATAAGTCATTTTCAAACCAACAAAAAACCTCATTGAGTATTAACATTTGCTCATTTCAAACTATACTATCCTTGCTACCTGACACGCGTCCCCCCCTCCGTCTGGCCAGCCCCCCCTCCCTCCACCCGCGCAGAACATTCTCCCGGTCAGCGTTCCGTTGTACCAGGGCTGATCAACCATCTGACATAACTCGAATACCACCAATTTGATTCTTACTTGTTGCAATATATGATTGTAGTCTCCCTGAAGATAATAAAAAAAAGTGCCATAATTTTACAGTACAATAAATGTTTAGCAAAATTCATCCAACGGTCTATCGCATGTCGCATTACAACTGATACTCGAGTAAGTTAAAGGGATTCGGAAAATCCAATTCCGAGATTGTATTAACTGAGGGTGTTTTATAAAAGACATTGTCTCTAAAAACTTTGATTTTTGATGAAGTTAATTTTCAGCTAAGGGCATAGCAAATAGCAATACGAAGCAATATATTAAACAACACCATGTCTAAAAAGCAATAATAAAATTTTATTCTTATCTCTAAACTATAATATATTTATGACTTTTTTATGAAAATATACACACGCAGTAAAGTCTAAGCACATAGTTGAATCGCAACACATAATATAAGTACTGTTAATTTTTAATAGCCCTTTTAATTTTCCGATTACCAAATTATGATTAAAAAGGCGTTTTAAAATTTTCATTTAAATGCCTGCAGGCCGTAAAAAGTTACACGTGCATCGGGCTTTCATAAAACCTTACTCTTAATGACGACAGTTAACAAAGAATATTAAAAAAAAATTGATATAAATGCAATTTAGACTTCATTGCGATAAAAATAATGTCGAAATTGCTGTGACTATTATTTCTAAATAATAAACTATTTAGTTCTAGATACATTTACTAAAAAAATTATATTATAAATTGCATATTCCAACGAAAAATTACATATGACCTACCGATGCTGTAAAGTAGTTTTTTGCGATAGAAGTATTAATATGTAGGGTGTATATGGTTTACTTTGGGTATTTAAGGGATATATAAGGTATGAAGTATAATTAGAGTAAATATGGTATAAATCACACTTTATTAGCTATTTATTGTTATATAATCGATCTGTTCTGTCAGAGAGCACATTACGAGTACAATGTCGAACGGAATCACTAATGATACCACAAAGAATCGTCATTATTAACGAATTACTTACAGTGAACGTTGCTTTTATATTTAAATATTTATTTAACATTCCATGTAATTATAAATATTATTTTAATAATCATATGTTGATAGTCTTGTATTTAAAATATTAAATATCAGAAAAAATTATATTTTAATATTTCTTATGGAATATTAAAATATAATTTAGGATTGAATTTAATGAAATGTGTTGGAATATGAATATAGAAAAGTAGTATATAAACTATGTATATATGAGATATCATAAAATTTGCGTAGTAATTCGATAATATTGGTTTCATTTAAATGATTTAAAAGTCAGTGGTGGCTTGTGGTTAAAGGCTTACCTCTCATGCACGCGGGCGCGGGTTCGAAACCTGGCAAGTACCAATGATTTTACCGAGTTATATATACTTGTACTTGTTATATATAAGTGTATTTAGACACCACTGACAGACAAAAGAAAACGTCGTGATAAAACGTAGACTTGTTATTTCACAATTTGAAATCAGCAACCCGTCTTGAACAAACGTGGTGATTAATGTTCAAACCTTCACTATGTTAAAAAGAGGCCTTTGCTTAGCAGTGGGCTCTGATAGGCTAATGATTACTCGCTAAAGTCCTAGATCTCATTATAATTCTATAATGGAATGTGTTAAGTTTTTATATCATTTAATTGATTGTAGTCGTTGAATACATATTTTTAAATTGCATTTTACCGCTTATTTTTATTCATAAACAAAACCGGAACATAATTTTACAAACAATACTGTTTCAAAGTAATCATAAGAAAAATTTTAGATAAAAAACCTACAAGATTGATCTTGATTCTAAAAAAATTCATAAATTCATAAAAAATACAAAAGAATCATTGTTGCTATAAATCTCCTACCTTGAACGCTTTACTTTATTCGGTTCCTCAATGCGATTACAATAAAAGTATTATTAAAACTTCTTGAAGCTTACAAGATAAATCTATTGGTAAAGTCCTAAGCTGTAAGTTATAATGTTTTACAAAAGTACTATAACAGACTCAAGAACCCTTGAACGAAAATAACCAAAATAATTACTTTTTAAGGAAAACAGCCAACTCAAATGAGTTTGTATGAAATTAAAAAAAATGTATTGTAATAGTTATCATTATTAAATAGAAAAGATAGAAAAATCTTTTTATTCTTAAATCATATTAATGTCTGAATATAGACCGCTAATATTAAAATCTATAACAATAATCAAATAAAAATATCGCTGACCGTGACCTAACCTTACTTGAACAGGAACGTTTAGCAAATGTTTAATATTCATGCAAAGATACCTTCGAGTATATATTCAAGTACATATAACTCTGAGAACAGTTATTTTGTTTTCTAATTTTTTTTTATTTTTTTTAAATAATATCGCAAATCTTTATTAAAATTCTAACCTATCCCAGTATTATTATTTTTTGTTTGTCAAAATCCTATCACAATCTAACCTCATCTTTAAACAAGAAATAAAAAACAAATTACCTTACCTAATATAAAAATAAATAGTCAAAAATTATAATTTTTCCATTAATTAGCTTAAATATAAGTCATTATTATCAGGTAATGTTTTTTCTTGATACGTTTTTATATACTTCAAAAAAAAATCCAAGTACTCTTCCGAACCAAGAAAACTAAGGAAGAAAAAGTAAGAATTATACAAATCATTATTTTCAAAGTCGTTTTAAATTCATCAGATAACTGAACAACAATTTTTTTTATTCCTTCATTTGTTTTACAAACAAATTGATCTCTCAACCCAAATTTGTATTTAAATTTATAAACCTTAAGATTATACATTTTCCATATATATTCTGCGTCACTCAATAATGGGTGATAATTTTACAACTCCGATACCAGCCGCGTTGCTAATTTTAGCGAAACCAATTAACTGTGAATGAATATCGCAGCAGTGTTTATAAATAGAAAAAAAATAATTACCCTCTCTTCTTTATATCCCCAACCATACATTTCAATATATCGGTAAATTTTTCCATCACTGATTTCAATATTTTTGATAGTTTTCCCAAAATTCAACCCTCGGTACAATCCCAGTAACTGTACGTCAAAATCAAAACTATGCTCCTTTTGATATAGAGGGTGTATTATATGTTTCTTAATTTTAATCTGAGCACCCTTTAAACGATATCTACTCCCCACTCTTATAAAATCTTTATCTGTGCTGAAATTTAATAAAAATAATTAAGAATATGGAATTAATTGTGTCACATAAAAATTATTTTGAACACCCTGTTAATAAGCTAACAGTTTTAAAATCCAATTTATTAGAACATGTTTAACGAATGTATTTTATTATTTGTTATAATTAACAGTTTTGTAACTGCAACGTAAATTGATTGGTTTCACGGGTTATTTTAATTTAACGATATTGGATTTAGGATTTAATTTTAGTTGTTCATACAATAATGTTAATATTATAACATCTTCATATATTTTACTTATTATAATAAATAAAAGATTATAATTTTAGGTATTTGTGGGTGTGTATGTATGTCTGTACCTCTGTTTGTGATTTTTTTCATAGTGAAAAGTCGTCTCGATTCATCGTGATTTAAAAAATTTAAGCCTTGAAAACTAAAATAAGTAAATAAATATTTTTGTCATATAAATTGCCCGTATTCCGATACACTTTAAAAACTAATGATTTTTCAATAGTAATGATTACGCGTGTCTTTCTAGACGTGTTTTATATAAAAACGAAAATTATATTCATAACAATTATCGTATTCTCAGTAACTTGCAGCAAATAAATATACTTTTAATTTAAATCCAATTTTAATATAATATAAGGGTATAATATTTTATTAGTTGTATATTATAATAATCATTTACCCACAATGAGCGACTGTCAGCGCCCATTTTCTATGAACAAGAACACCTCCACAAACATCCCCATAACTTATATGATGTGGCACACGATCTATAGTTACATCATGACCTCCTATAATACTACAATTATAGTATAAAGAATAAATAATAAATAATAATAGCTAATAATAATGAGTTTTTTAATGAAACTAATATTTAAATCCGAAAAATTTTAGTTTCATTTAAATGAATACTCGCGAAAATCTTAGATCTCTTTAGTAATAATTATGTTAGATTAAATGACAAGTTTATTTAATCCTTTTATATTTAAATACGTGCCTTTTTATCTTATCTTTTATATATATTAAAAATAATACCTTGAATGTGATTCAAATTCTATTTCTTTTTTTATATTGTATAAAAACTATAAAATTTTACAACAATACACACCCGATAACAAAAGTAATATCTGAACTCACAAATATACTGACGAATATAAAAATAATCATATTATAATAAAAAGGAGGTTAAATTATGGTTATTTTACTATTTTTATTTCCTACATATAATCGCTATAGAATGGTTATAATTTATTTAAAATCAAAAATTACGTACTATGCAGTTGAGAGTAATTTTTGAGAGTTATCCCAGGATTTTTATGTATAAATCTTTAATTAATATTAAATTAATCCAATTTGAAATAAATATAGTATAATAATTCAATAAAAAAATTAAGAATCAATTTTAGGATTTGCTTAAAACAGTAGGTAAGTTACAAAAGTAATGTATAACTTATTAATCGAAGGAATCGTTTTAATTAGGATATAAAATTACAAATATTATATCTCAGTAAAAATAAAAGTGACTTAGATAGAGGCCTCTTAAACCTACACCTGGGTCGTAAGTCCGAGTCACTGTTGAAGCTCCTCTCACTACAACGATGGACCCGACACACGCACCGTGAATACATTGAATGATGAGAGGTTTCGTCTAAATATATATTTGTTAAGATTTAAATATGAAGCATTATAAACATATCTTGTCATACATACAATAACATTATATATAATTCAACTTATTCTAATTCTTAAACGAAATAAACATATTAAAATGGATTTTTAAATTTGTCATTTCAAAACCTGTAAATCAAGAACTGCTCTGTCAGTTGGATGGATAAGCTTCCTGTTTGAACTGCTTTTTACTCCAAATAATATCAAACATACGTACATTGTAATTAATTAAAAGAAAAAAAGTATCAGTTGTTAAATCAAAAACTTGATATGAAAAATGACTATCCAAAAACTGCATTCAATGGAGGAAATATCACGGAACCTACAGCAAGATAAGTGCCAAAAAATCCACGAAAATCGAACCAAATATAATCATTAAGAATGCAGCCATCCTCAACATATATTTTATAATTTAGGCCAAATGGAAATTACCGTGAAATTTCCAGTAAAATGATTATTTGCCTTATCAATTAAGTTAAATCGCTAATGATCATATTTGGCAGCTCCCCAACTCCTAAAACACGTTATACCAAATCTATTTCTAATTCGTATGCCGTTCAGACTTTATGACCACAACATTTTTTATATACCACTATTTATAGTAAAGAAAAGATAAAAAAGAAAAAAGATAAAATAAGATAAAAGATATCATTAAGTAAAAAGACGTCATCGTTTAAAAAATGTTTAATTAAAGTATTCTAATCTAAACTAAGGCCGGTGACTTGTGATATCCATGACCTGACTTTCGCAACCTTGCTGTATACACCATAAGAGCCGGGGGTTGCGCAACCGTAGCCAAATGACACCATGCCAAGAAGACGCCCATACGCCACTGCCGGACCTCCAGAGTCACCCTGACATAAAAGAAACAGAATTAAATACATGCCTTCCCCAAAAAACAGCTCCAAAAACACCTCCAAAAACTGTCTTAATATCGCTCGAAAATATATATTAATTCAAAATGATCGTTATATATATGTGAATAGAGTATATTTTTATTCGAATCTATTTATATTTAGTAGTAACCGTTTGACAGATCGTTAAACAGCTGGTCCGAGTTTTTCATATATCATAAAGTTAGAGGAAGTAATTATATGATCGTTTCTTTGTTAGACGATTTTTTTGTCTTCGCTTAATCATCAATCTTTTTGGATGATATCAAAGAGGGTAGATTAAAATAATTAGATCACTATGATTAGGAATGTACACAAATTCCTCATTATAATAATATAATGACGTATATGAATGTCAGGGCCACTGCTATTAGAGACCTCTCATCATTCCATATATTCACGGTGCGTGTGTCGGGTCCATCGTTGTAGTGAGAGGAGCTTCAACAGTGACTGGGACTTGTGACCCAGGTGTAAGTTATATTATTCATATAATCGTTTAATTCTTTGTATAATTCTGTTACCTGACAAGCATCTTTCTTTCCCTCTGAGAAACCGGCGCAGAACATTCTAGGAGTTAGGGCTCCTCTGAAGTATGGGAAAGGCACTTGTTGGCAGTTCTCCTTAGATATTATAGGGACTCGCACCGCCCGTAACACATTAGAATAGGGACCCTGGTAATAAAGAATAATTTAATATGAAAAATAATTAAATATACATATTATTACGATATTAAATGAACATAATGATAATTATGATTATGTCAATGTTTGTATAAATTATTATTGAATAAATCGTCTAGTCTTGAATATACTGAAAACTATGCAAATATATATATAATACTAACATTTTCCTCCGTATTTCCCCACCCGGTGACTGTCACCACTTTCCCAATCACCATATCTTCAATATGGGCTATTTTGATAGCTTGTATGTTGTCATCGAATTTCAAAGGTTCGCTCAATTCCAGGAGTTGGAAGTCATAGTCGAAGGGATGCTCCTTGTCCTTCGCTGTCCACGACGGATGTATGTAATTGTTCTTCACAGATATTTTCTTGCCTTGATTTAAATATTTGGATCCCGCTTTTATGTATGGTTTCTTACTAAAAATGATAGACATATTAGCGTATAAAATATATATAAATTGATTTATCAGTACGTCAAAAAATTCTCATGAAGTCACTCACCCACAATGCCCAGCAGTGATGATCCACTTTCTATCAATGATGGCTCCTCCACAATTGGTTCCGTATGCTACATGGTAAGGATACAGGTTGATATCAACTTCAAAACCTCCCACTATTTTATCTTCCTCGTAATTCCCCAAAGGGTAGTCCAACCCCAGTCTCTGTGGACCGCTACCAGTCAACCCTGACACGTCCAGCCGACTGCTCGTGTCTCCAAAACTATCAATATCGAAAGCCTCAGTAGCTTCCTCATAATCTCCTATATCCAACTTCTCGTAATTCGTCTTATAATCTCTATGAAACGGCCAAGGCTTTCTATTTTCTTTGATCCCATCTTCTTTCAATATCGGTATTATTATAAGATCGTATTCTGTAATTTGAAAAAAAAATAACACAAAAATATTCACTTACGATAAAAATATTATTATTATAATTTATAAAAATTACTGTTTAAATCTCCCGGCGATATATTGTATAGTATAAAATATATTATGATATATAAAATCATTTTTTTTTTGTTTCGTTTCTGTTTTATGTCACAATACTCATAACGGCAGGGCGAGTACTGTGTTCTGGATTACGTTTTCAGTTATTAATTGATTTACGAGCGATAAATAAATGTTGGATTTAATTAGGTATGAAATTACTTACTTGCAAAAATCAAACGGCCCTATCACGGAACATGATAGAAACTGATTCAATTACATTTACGTCTCAGTTCCTATTAAATGAAATGTAATTCTTATTTTATTTTAATTATATGATGTTCATTAATTTACAATTCCTTTATAATCTGTGAGATAAATAATTTTTATTTACAAAATAATTTGTATCATAATTAATTTAATATTACGAATAATAAAACAAGGTAATGGAATAAAAATTATAAATTATTTTTTATTTTTGACATTTCTAATGTAATTGATTCTGTAATAACGCCGTCTATGAGATGACGATAAGATGAATTACTATGATTTGCGATAAGAAATGTGTACAGTTAATTGACACGTGCAGAATTATTTTGACAGCTAACATTGATATGGAAAAATACCATTAATTGTATTTTATTACCTTTTTTATTGGGTAAAGTGAATATATAAATAAAAATAATAAACTCAATGATTAATTGGAGTATAACATTATTATCTATATTTTTGTTAATGAAACTGAGATTTTAATTATAATGTAATATTGTAATATTTTAAATAATTTCTTTTTCTTAATGGTGCCATCTATGACATAAGCCTAAGAACTACATCAAAGTTGAAGATCAGTGCTGACATCTATTTCGAAACACTGGAAATGAATAAAAATGTTTAACTTACATATATATAGGTCTTAATTTTTTTTTAATATTTGAAAACTTGTTAAATACGCTTATTGTATATCACAAATTTTCTCTTGAAAAGGAAAGTATTGTTTTCAACTTTTGATATGTTTAGTAGCGCCATCTCTTATTGAATAGCTAAAATAAGGGTCAACCACAAGGCATTTTATTTCTTAAATTTTTTATTTTCCATTTCAATTACATTTTTATATTAATTTATTTCTTATAATATTAAAGCTTTTACAATATTTCCCTTTTCAATCCATGTGTAATTAATTTATTAAATAAACACTTCGGGTTACATATAAAAACTACTAACTAATACCAAAACAATGTCGACTTGTCAATTCGTTTATTTAATTAAAAGACGAACCAAATTGGTTCTTAAATTTATTAGTGAAAAAATATCGTACGGATAGATCTATTAGCATTCTCATTATTTGTCTTTCGACCGCATACAACACTGATTTGATAAGACTTCTTCGGGACCAAAAATTATTTATGATTGTACCTAATACATCATATAATATTTCTTGAAGATCAACTGATTGAATAAATATAGAACACACACACACACACACACACAAGCACACATATACATTATACTCGTAAAGGCAAACACTGGTAATTTTGTTATTTAATAATATAATGATGATTCTTATAAGAATTAATTTTGTTCCTTTGTATTTATACTACAAAAACATTATCTTCTTATTAATGAACCTAATATTTTGGGATTTACTAAGCGATTTTTAATTTTTAATTATAAACTTTCTTTACAGAAACCGTGATCACGGGCAGACGAGATGTAGTTTATAATCAAAAATAAAAAATCGATTAGTAAATCCGAAAATATTAGGTTCATTTAAATGAATACTCGCGAAAATCTTCAATCTCATTATTATGTTCTTATGGTTTTGATATAATCAAACAAATTATATCAAGCAATGAAACTATGGTTTAGTTCAAGTATCCTTATTTTTATTAAGTGGTATTATAATTAGAATATTCAATCATTTTTCTTTAAATCTTAAAAAAATAGTTCGCTTCAATATGGACTTGCTATAAATTTAAAAACATTTATTTTTATTATTTATATGTAAATAAAACATTTTACCGAAACGTTTCAGTGTACATAGATTTAGAAAATCTTATAAGAATTTTATAAGATTAAATACATATACATATATATCTACAATTTTTCTCCTACATGAGACATCTTAAGAATATATCTACCACAAATGCTAACAACATATATATATATATATTTAATATTGTTATTATTATTATTTTTTTTAATTATTCATTGTAATATCTCTTTTATTTCTTTTTTTTTAATGTAAGTAGTGGATAACGGTGTGGTTTGTGCATTTATTAAGGTTATAAAATTGTATAAAATATATTTTCATAGATGTACAAATGTTTGTTGTCCCAAATAAATAAAAAAAAAAAAAAAAAACATTTTGATGAAAATTTTAAGAATAATCACAACATATAAATACGTATATTTAAAAAAGACTTACAAAATATTACATATTATTAAAGAATTTAAACCTATTGGAATTTATAATCATATATAATAATGAATTGCAATCCCTTATAACCATAATTGTACAAGCAATTTCCTTTGTTGCATACACATGTAGATTTGATACCCTTTTTACCTTAAAAGTGTTCCTGATTTATCCCAGATAATTCCTGTTACCTTAAAATTATAAAAACTATTATACTGTATAATTCCAGGAACTGTTCCGGATTTTAATTTCGAATAATTCCGTATTACAAGTCAGCAGTGTAATAATTACTGTGATACCAGAATAGCAGACGATGCTTTTACTAGTTGTATCTTGTATACTAGACTACAAGGATATACGTGCCAACTTCTAAAATACGTTTTTGGCGATTTTAATATTATTATTGTTAATAAAGTTATTTTGTTTTTTATCAAAAAACTAAACCGAATTTGTTAGATTTTATATATACTTAACTATTAATGTGAATTAAAGATTTCGTAAGTTACACTAGTAAAATCAAGACCTTAGAAAAATATATTCAATAGATAAACAAATTAGTCTCGCAAGCAAACCAAAGGAAGACAGTTTACTTATTATTGTTTGAAAAAATATGTAAAAAAGATAAGTTGAACTTATATAATAGCCTAAAACTATTAACTAATAAATACATTTTGTTGTGTGAGTATTTATATATATTAAAAAAATAAGTACAAGATAAATTACCTTATCAGAACGATTACCTTTGTCTGTTTGTATTCACCTCTCCTTCATAGGTATAGTTAATGCTTAAATTACTTATGAACTATGAAACTGCATAGTTATGTTTCACCTATATAAAGTTATTAATAATTATTAATAAAAATATTACTATATAATTGGACAAAGCGATCGACAGTTAAAGTCCAAATGATGATCTTGTAATGTTTCTTTAACACCTATAAATTATTTAAGACACAAAAAGATTTTCTTTTTGGTTTAAACACTCAATTGATAAAAAATTCTTTCCATAAAATTAATCAAATATAAATGAATGTATGAAATGAAAATGGATTTCAATCCGTAATAGATTAACAAAGGTAAGTAAACGGCTATAAGTTTAAACACCAAACATACTTAACTTTAAAAATACTCTACAATGAAATGAACAAGCTAATACTAAAGAACTAGTATATTAATTATTCTTTATTGTATACTATAGAGGTATACCCACAGTAATCAGTACCCAGTGTCTGTATTGCCTCTGTTATAATCTTAAACATCCGAAACAAAAGAATTCTCCATCGATATGAAGAACAATAACTCGCAAAGTAAATAAGCCGGGGGATGAATATATAATGAAATTTCGCCCTTGCCGTCCGTTAATCAAAAACTGCTGCAGAGCGGGCGCAAAGACGTAAGAAAATGGAAATTTTCCTACCCTCCTTTTTCCTGTTTACCCCCCTCACCCCCGGGAGGTTGGACACCCCCCTCCCGGGATACGATCATATGGAAGCAGCTTCTTATCATTTATCCATATAAATTTTACGATAGCCTCAATTCCTCATACAAGTCTAGATGCTGAAAGCGGCTGTAATTAATACAATATATATTCCAATAATCCTTAATCTATTGTAAATAAGATTTGTTTTTCTAAAGCCATCTCCATACATATCTCCACCCCGCCTGCATCACATCGCCAGCCGAATGCAAATTTTATAACACGACGCCGTTTTCTTATAGGCATTGTCGTAAACCCCCCCCCCTCCCTCCTCGTACTCTTCACCCTCCCCCCGCACCCCTCAGCCGTCCCGCAGCCCCTCACGGTCATTCGTTCAGATTCTATATATAAGGACTCAGTAATTAATATAAAAAATACTCCATAGAACGATAATAGGAGATATGATTTCTATGTACCTTCCACGGACAAATCTTCGATAAATTAAAACAAGATTTAACAATAGTATTCCATACTTCCTAAATCTTTCCTTATTTTGATTTATAAAAGAAAAGAAATAGTCATATTAATATTAAGTCTCGATCGATAAAAGATATTCTTAGTCTCGATACCAGTATTCTTTCACAGATAACAGTAATAAAAGTTGTCTAATACTGAAACTTGGTAATGATAGCTACGTGATCTTTTGGAGAACAACTAACAGTTCTCGATGTTAACTCGATTGATAAATAGTTGACTGATGATTTTAATAATGAGAAAGTAATTTGATTGACAAAAGAACATTTAAACGAAGATTGTTTGTTTGTATGTGTGTGTGTGTGTGTGTGTGTGTGTGTGTGTGTGTGTGTGTATGCTAAACCACATATACAAAATAAATAATCACATAATAATAAGATCATGGCAAATATTTATAAAATTCTTGTAATAATTCATATGCATATATATTTATTTCAATAACTTATTATTATATGTATCAGTTGAATACATAAGAAAAAATCTAAGATGAATGTTAAATAACAAATTATTTAATTTAATTTAATAAGTGTATTACTATCGATATTCAATGGTAGTGGAACATAAGCGGAGCGTATTGAAGAAATTTTTAAGTTGAAACTCTTTATATTTAAATTTGTAATACCATTGATATTCTTACAAACAAGAAATATATATATTAAACATAATTATGGATATAAATGAAACACATTATTAACGAAAAATATATTTTATTAACTGTTTAATATCCTTAATATAAAATCACAAAAAATACCTTAATTTTTATGCTATTAATATTCAATTAATTCATTAAAACAGAGATTGTAATAACAAAAAATATACATTTGAAGTATACATAATAAAACTATAAAATACCATGTCTATTTTATTCACCTTTTTAAATTTAAGATTTAAATCGTTCAAACAGTATTATTGCTTCCATAAAATTTAAATTTAAAATCAATATATTAAATCAGTATAAAATCTAAATGTACAAGTCCACTATCGGGCAGGTTAATTTTAATTTGTATGCAAATTCATTCATTAGAAACAGCTTTGAAGTGGATGGGACTTATCGTTAGTTTTCTTTAATACTTCACTATCAAATAAAAATTAAATTTAAATTTAAATTAATTTAAAATTTAAATTTATCTAATATTAAGTTTTCATTTGAATGAAACTAATATTCGGATATAATATACGTGCTTTATCTAAAGATAAATGTAGATATACACAAATGTAATAATTAAAATACATTAATACGACATTTTAGTTTTAAATGTAATCTTAGTTTATTTACATTTATCTATATAAATATATTATAATAAAGAAACGCTTACATAACATAACGAGGATATTATTTCAAAAGTTCTCCAGAGGTATTCGCGAAAAGATATTTGGCGGAATTAAAACAACACTTAGAAGCGCCCCCCCCCTCCCGCCGCCGGTCCGTTACCCCCCACCCCCCACCCTTAGACCCAAGATGGCTTCTTTTATACAGGGTGGACAAAATAAAAGTACTTCACGAAGGTGGGGTCTTTGAATCGGCGAAATTTTAATTGGTCGACGGCCCCTTGATATTTTTTTCTCTCTGTGAATCATTTTCAGTATATTTCTTATAATAATAATATTTTTTTATTATTCTGTACACTGTAAACAGTTGAGTGACATTAATGTGAATTAAACTTTATGTTGTTGTGATAGAATTGTTAATTAATCGTAGTACGTTAACCTTCACATATGCGTGAGTAGGTCAATGTACGATACTATGAAAGGTCCTCGGTGTGACGTCACACTAACATACATTCGATTTTGGTGACGTCATAGAAAAGTATTTTTCCTACAAATAATAAATAAAGAATAGAGGTTTTTGTATAATATCGAACTATTTTCATATGAGAATGTTTATATGTTATTTTTATTTTAAATACTTTTCTTGGTAATAACTATTATATTTATTTATATAATACTAATGTTTGCAAATATTATTACGCGTTTTTTATTATTTTAAACTATATATTCCCGACGCTTCGTTTAGATTCTTTTGTAGCAACCGTGATTACGGACAGACGAAATGAAATTAAATTAATCGTCTTATTACGTTGTAAAATAATAAAAAGTGCGTATTAATATCCTAAAACCTTAGTTTTATTTAAATCAATACACGAGAAAATCTTATATAATACTATAATAGAATTTATATAGTTCAAAGTACAATAAAACCATCATATGTAGAGGCTTTTCAGTCACCTTTCGTCTTTAATATAAAAGAAAAAATACTACAATTATTGATGTGACAAACTCTAATACAGTTTTCTTTTAATAAGAACAATATAAAAATAATCACAGTTTTTTTACTATCAACATTCTATATACGAATTATAAATACATTATCTTACAATCAACTGAACTAAATAATTTATGCTCGTCATAAACTAAGATATAACAAAGAGAGATGACTGTTGCATTTTTATTCCGCCATAATTTTGAAAGCATAATTAATCGCCCCCACCCGCCCTAATTGAATAATATCCCCCCCACAGTCCCCATGGAAAAACAACCCTTTCTTATTTTTACGTGTCCCCCTTGGAAGAAGATAAATCCTTGCCGGAGACAGCGGGGAGATCTTGCAAACATCTTTGCTACTACATATTTATAGTAGAACCGTAGTGCTATAGAAATAGAGTCTATTTTTGCTTGTCATTTTATTAATGAACGGTAAATTTAATATGGTTTTTAAAACAAGAAAAACCCTCCGCAATTCGTCATTCAAATTCCTCGGGCATCTAGAGACGCCATTTTAGAATAGGTTTTATATTTTTTTTAGTATCGAAATTAATTTAAAATAATAGAGACGAAATATATGTACAACCTGTGTATTTATTTAATGTATATAAATTGAAATTATAAGTAATATAATAAAAATGAATTGCTGTTCTCTAGCTCGAGAAGTAAAACTCAAGAACGACTGAACGGATTTATCTTATCTCAGTCTTGAAATGTTCGTGGAGGTTCAGGGAAGGTTTAAACGCTGAAAAAAATTGATTCATTTCCGGGGAAACTCTAAAAACAGCCCTTTTCTATCTCCCATACAAACGTTTTTTTAAACATTAGATTTGATAACTAACTAATATGTCAATCATTTTGTCGCACTTCAGAACAGCGAGATTTATGGCTTATAGATAAACTCCAAAACAATAAATAAAAAAATATTTATTTATCGATTGGGGCAGTACCAAGTCTGCCGGGTCAGCTAGTTTTGATATAAAATAAGTTAAGCGACTAACTATTAATTATTAAGAAATAGTTACGATAGCAAACTTGTTTTTTATAGTTAATATTATTGGTGCAAAGGCATACAATATACGTCTTTTTATTCATCTGAAGATAATTAAAAGTATTCTCTATTAAGATTTTTCGTTTTTCACATAATACACCGCGGCTAGATTTTCATACAAAACAATGTGTATATAATTCCGAAAGTGGAATAAAGTTTGAGAATGAAATATTACAAAAAAATATCTTATATATGACACAGTATATAAGTAACTTAAAGTTAATAAATATGTATTATAGAACTTACGGCGACTGAATTTTAAAAACGACTAATACACATTTACCATTTTTTTAAATAAACGGATTATATATACATATTAAAAGATCAACATAAATAATTGTTTATAAAATAATTGCAATAAACTATTAAGCAACTTGAAAACTATTTATTTCCTTTCAAATATATTATAATAATAATAATATATTATAACAATTAACATAAGAGCATTATTTTGTTAAAATACTCGCTACTTCCCGCGGATTTAATATACTATAATAACAAATATTATATACATATAATACTAATAAGTTATAGAAGAAATCTAAACAAAAATATAAATTTTTATAAACGTTTTAAGGACAAATTCGTTTAAGAAAAACATCTCATTACTAGATGTGAGTAGAATTTACTTTACTAATTTCGTTTAAATCATGAAAAAAATAAACGTTGTTATATATATGTATATATTTTAAATAAAAGATGTCGAGAATATGTTTCATAAGAAAATTTTGATACAATATTTTTTCTCGACTTTACTAACTTAAACCCTACTAATATTATAAATGCGAAAGTAACTCTGTCTCTCTGTCTGTTACGCTTTCACGCCTAAAGCACTGAACTGACTTTAATGAAATTTGGTACATACATAGAGTTGACCTTGAGAAAGAACATAGGATAGTTTTAATCCCAGACTTTTGAAAGGTTCTCTTGGAAACGCGATATAACCGAACTCCACACGTGCGAAGCTACGGGCGGAAAGCTACGAAATTTACGAAACTTATATGAAATAAAATTCTTGTTATACAAATAAAATACAATTCCAAAATACCTATTCGTAACAAAAATGTAATAATAATAAGAAGCAATCCTACCGTGACACCTCCCTCGATTAAAAGGGGCTTCGTTTTTTAGGGGATGCTACCTCCCTTAGACAGACCAGCCAAGGTTGACCCCTCGGCCCCGACAACATCGTCTTATATAAATGGAAATATAACGCGATCGGTTACAAGGGTAGCTCAAGTTATACTGGTCACCTTTGAGGGAGAAAAGAAGAAATAAGTTCCCCTTTTAAATTGCAAGATGGGGTTTTACTTTCCCGTTTGAGTTTGATAAATGTTATTTATGTTACAGAAAGTTGCATTCCGACATTTTGTGAGAAGAAACTCTAATTTTGTTCAAAATGATCGACTCGAAAAGTACCTTAGTGCTATTAATAAATAACTTCCTAAAACTGAATCACTGATAGGATCAAAATAAATATAAATTGCTAACATAAGAGTAACTTTAATAACATTCCTTGAGTTATCCATTAATGAAAATCATA